TGGTTCTATTCGCTGTTCTCTAAAACGAGGCCTCAGAACCTACACGGGGAGGGTTAAGATATCTTCTTCTTCTTCGATCCTTCTGTCAGAAAACTTATTTCAGGAGGCCGGTAGCCCTTATGAAAGCTATCGTGCAGGCCATATCTTCTCGTGTTTTGGCTTTATTGTGGTTGGAACAGGCCAGATTGCATCTCTGTTGTCAGCGTACAGTTGACAGTGTAGTTGCACACGCTCAGCATTTTCGGGTGCTGCGCTGCAAGGACACGTCTCCGTGTTTCCTACACCGAAAAGTTTGCACATATGTTGACGAAGTCTGTTGTGCCCTGTGCTTAATCTGAATACTATACACTGTGCATCTCTAAAGAGGCGACAAAGCGAGTCTTGAGGAGAGAATTTGGTGTTTGTATCCAGCCACCTTTCTTGGATACTAGACTGTATTAATGTCCTAGTCTCTTGGTGGGTTAAGTCACTATACAGAGTTCCGGGCGCAGGTGAAGAATCGCGGAAGCTACGAGAAACCTTAGCGTTCTGCATTGTTACTGTAGTATGCACCTGATGAGATACAGCGAAATATGCCAGGCAATAAATTGTGCAATATATTGTTTGTGTCTTCTTTGTTCAAATTTATAACGGGGAAATATTGCTTTGGTCTATATTTGTGATTTTGTCAATAGGCGCTCTGACTAACGTGTCTGTTGTGCCAGAAATTTGCTAACTGCAGCTACAACCAAGTGTGATATGGACTGTAATGTTGATGTTTGGAGCATCAGACTTTGGTATCTATTCAATTCCAAAATTAACTTCACTAAGATGACAGACATGCTACTGTCCTTTCCACAACATCGTGGCCCTTGATATAGCCATATTATTTCAGTTTCCGAGACAATGTGTTGGCTATAATGTAACAGAGTAAGGTCATAGCTTGATTTTTAGGAGGCACAAAGCTAGGATGAACCGAGATCAACAAGTTTTGGTAACCTTTAATTTCCAGCCAAAACTAATTATGTTTGCCATGAGATAGAAAATTGCGAATTAGTTTATATGAAGAAAGTCAACAAGTCTAGGCAACGATATTTTGTAAATAGTATTTGACGTCATTGTTGTCGTGCTCTATCAAAGCAAACGCAATTGTATTTGTTTTCTAGAAGCTTCTATGACTCCAATTGTCATTTTAACTACTATATTTGCGTAGAATAGGATGATGAAATCGGATGCAATGGAGATATTTTTTAGAAAATCCTACGTGAGAACGTACCTAGTAAACAAGGTGAGACGTACTAGAATATTCTAAAAGCAGAAAAAGTGAAAAGAAAATAAATAACTAGCATTCCAGCATCCAAGTATAATTAATGGGTAAGAATCCACTTAAGCAGCTTTCAGTCTAAAAAGACTTAACAAGTGGAGGGACTAGTAATTTTGACCCTCAGAGCAATTCTTCAGTCCACAAGACTCAAGAGAGGAGGGACCAGTCATATCGATCCTCCAAGATAGCTTCCTGTCTACAAGATTTAGAGACGAGGGACTAGTAATAATGGCCCTCAAAGAATGCCTTCAGCCGTTGAAACTCAGAGGACGAGCGACTAGTCTCAATGATCCTCGCAGTTTTGGAGATGCTAACTCAACACTAGAGGGAGAGCAGCCAGTCATATTTAGCCTCGAAGACAGTCACTAGAGAGCAGACATGAAACGAGACGTCGAGCCACAGAGACAACACACAAGATACCTAGATCCATGGTTAACAGAGACACATTAGGAACACTATAGAGATGTTAGAGTCAACGATCAAGCCGTTGGTACCAAACAGCACTAGAAGCCAAGTGGCAGTTAGAGGCACTAGAAGCAGTTAACAAAGTAATTGGAGATAAAGAACACAACGCGACCTCAAGAGTATGAACACAACGCGACCTCAACAGTACGTAACCATAGAGAGAACATAGCGTCTTTTAGAATATTATTGATATTGTTTGTGTCAATGCTGAAGTATCACAATAAAGACAGTATAGACAAAAACAGTTGTTTCCAGACACCTTATTATACAAGCATCAGAGTCACGTGAGAAGCATGCAGCTAGCAAGACATCATCATCATCATCATCATCATAATGCCTATAATCTTCCAATTGACTTCTCCTGTAGCAAAACCTAAAGACGAACCTGGGTGTGACATCGACGTACGCAACGAAGAACACAGCTGTGCTACAATAAGCTTACTTGATGTTTATATCTTTTATGAAATCAGTATTTCACTTCCGCTTAGTCCATGGTGTCTGCGTCTGTGGCTTAAGTGTTGCGAACGCGCTTCGTAATGTCAGGGTGCCGGGTTTCAACCCAACTGCGGGCTTGCGCCATGCATTGGTTTCGACAGTGGTATCGAGAAGCCGACCGTGCAGTAGGCAATGTCGAACTCAATATCATCAAGTGCCTTGCCGACTGGTGTAGGCGATCATATCTCTCCACAATCTGCGATCTCCTGCAGCATGAATCAGTTTGTGTGCTGACACACCTCTATGCCATGCAACAAGACTGTCAAGAAATTTCTTTCGTTGTCTTCCTATATTCCTCCTTCCACAGATCTTTCCAGTGGTCAAAACATATTCCATTTTCCCTCTTCTCATAATATGGCCGAAAAATGATGGCTGGCTCCTTCTGAAGTCTGTGATAAGTTGTCTTCGGGCTCCCGCCTCTTTCAAAACCTCTTGGTTGCTCTTTTCTGCTGTCCGGGGGATTTTAAGCATTATTTTGTAAAACCACATCTCTGAGGTCTCAAGAAATTGTTCAGCCTGCCTACCGATGGCCTACTTGGCAAACTAAACAACACATAATGGCAAACTACTGGATGTAAATCAGCCTAGAAAAACCACAACAGCCAAAAAAAGGCTGGGATTGGTTCTGCAATGTCCTGTAAAGAATATGCAACTAACTTTTTGTCCATGGCATTCTGAGAATATTTCTATAGAAATTCATCTCAAAAACCTCCCTCTCACCCATAATTTCCTCCACCCCCTCCCCTTTACATTAATATGTAAAAATATAATAGACCAGTTATCACTTGATCGATGATATAGTTCATTAGCGGCTTTGACGTCTCAACGTAGTACTTGGTAAACGTACTAGGTTTCGTCCACCCCTGACCTACTTAAGTTCGTGACGTCACTACCACGGGCTTACTATGAGAACATAAACATCTTTCAGTAAGGCAATCGATGAACCTAGAAATGATTGACATAGAAATTATGGGCATAGAAATGATGGACATAGATATGATTGACATACAAATGATGAACATAAAAATGATGGACATAAATGTAATAAAATGTCACAACAACGGTCATGGCGTGAACTGAAAATAGGTTATTGTCGACCCAGAAGCCAATATCAATTATTAAAAAAAAATATATATATATATCTCACTGACTGTGACAACTGGGAAGCAATTACTTCGATATCAGTTATATCAAAAACTTGTAAAATTAAAGGGCTGGCGAACAAGAGATACCAAAAAGCTGGTTTTTGGCCTGGAAAAAGCGTCTTATACCTAGATCCTAAGTATAAATATAGATAATAGTTTGTACCCTCTCTCTCTAGTTCTCGCAATGTTATTTCCGATCTTTGTTGATAGCAGCTCGCACACACATTTCCCAATGTTTTGCTTGCCACAAGCCATCCAAAATGGGATCTCGTTAAACAGATTCCTGAGTATCTTTTTAAAGCCTTTGTGTCTCAGTTTCCTGGACGAAAACAAAATATTGGATGACAGCCAATCAGGCTTCAGGAAAAATAGAAGCACTGATGACTAACCTTTTCTCGTACAGGAAATTGAAGATCCTTTCCAGAAAAAAAAAATATAAACTGCTAGCTACTGTTTTCGACTCGACCAAAGCCTTTGACAAGGTCTGGAAGAAAGGACTCTTGTTGAAATTAGCACACAGCGGGATAAAATGGCAAATGTTTGCCTGGATTAGAGACGTTTTCTACAGACGATGTGCGAGAGTCTGACTGGAAGAACGCAAGCGCAAGCTGGTCAGATTACAAATAGGTGTCCCTCAGGGAGCTGTTATAACTCCTACCCTGTTTATTCTCTTAATCAATGACCTCCCAAAACAGTTTACAATTCAGATGCACAAGTCCCTGCTCGTAGATAACCTGGCAATATGGACATAAGCTGAACATATAGGAAGAAGTAAAACAAGAATGCAGGAAGCTTTAAACACAGTTAAGAAATGGGCAGACTCTTGGGAAGCCACAATTAACCAGACCAAAACCGTCTCAACTCTCCACTTTTTTCCACAAAGCTAGAACAAGTTGATCTCTACCTAGAAGGCAACATCTTTCTAAAAGAGGAAAACTTCATAAATTTGGAAGTAACATTCGTCAAAAGGCTAATATGAGGCTCCCACATTAAAGACACAAAACGCAAAGCTACCCTGCAGCTCAGGCTTGTGAAGAAACACCAGAACAAGCTGGAGTGCAGATAACAACACGGTACGACAAGTATGCACAGGATACGTAGGACCAAAGTTGCAGTATGGCATGGGAGCGTACTCCACTGCAGCCTAATTAATCTATACAAACTAGATAAGATGCAGAAGACTGGTCCCTGAATCATCACTGGAGGTGAGAGAAGCACATCAATCAATCAGCTGAGGTAACCCATCGAAGGGAAGAAAAGGTGCAAACAGAAAAACGTAAACGCATGAACAACAACCTCATGCACAGAATAGCAAATAATTTAACTAAAAACTGACTGAAAATACAAAGCTTTCACCATCTAACACACACACACACACACACACACACACAAAGCACACACACACACACACACACACACACACACACACACACACACACACACACAAAGCAGTGACATCCTTTCTAAAGATCCTTCAACAGTATTTCGTTTACAAGGACTCTGATCGAAATGTTCTGTTTTATCTGTGCGGGTATTTCAATCCCTCCTTAAAGATTCATGTTGAATGTAGCATACAGGACTATAAGGGTGTGTTACGGTTTGGAAATTTTGCAAACAGCAATCATATCATGCAACAATTTCTTAAACCCATCTGAAAACTCTTTGTACACGTGATAATAGATGACAAAATTCATGACTGAATGAACCTCATATAAGTAAAAAATAATAATTATTATTGTATCTGGAATGTTAAATGATAAAAGCCGAATTCCTGTAACAAAAATTTGAGGCGAAGTAAACGCAAAAAATGTTCCAAATAAGCAAACGAAAAATTTGACACTTTTCATGGCTGCTATTCGAGTATTCCGTAACTTGAGAACCTTCTCAGGGTTTTCTATTTTTAATCTGCGGGCGTTGGCAGCTTTTTTATGCGTGAAAGCCAAATGTGCAATTTTAAAATAGCATGCAAAAATGACAAAATAGTCAATGACGTTTAATGATGCATTAATAATAAAATACTCCAATGGGGGACTGGAAGTAATGCAATGTCTATGATACTTGTCATCTATGTAAAACATTATGGGAACAGTGGAATAGGCCAACCCAAATAACCATGCAATAATTAGCACTACTATTAAACGTCGTTTTGTTACGTTTAAAATATAGTAAAACGGATAGGCGATGTTTATAAAGCGGTCAATGGCAATAATTGCCATGTGTGTACAAGATATTGTTAAAGCACCGTATCCTGTTCCCAGAAGGACGGTATCGATAATGTTTGCAACATGAATATTATGTCTGAATGTAGTGCTGTAAACGATACCTTGCGTGAAGTCGGACACCGCCATGACACAATCCAGTAGAGCCACTGACACAATAAAGATATTGGTGTTAGTGTGCAGAGCTTGAGTTCTCAGTATCGTCACAATTATCATCACGTTCAGGTTAAACACAATGAAACCCAGAATTGCTCCAATATAAAGCACTTGAAAATCTCCCACCAGTGTAATGTAGCATTTAGCATCAGATGTGCTATTCATTGTAATGTGTTCTTTACGCTTTCACAATATCGCTACAGACACTTTTTCTGCTTTTCTTATATTATTTCAAAAAGTATTGCCATTTGAAAATTATAGTGTTCAGTTACTTTTGTGTGAACAATAACACACAAAAAACAGCACGAACGCGAGAACTATCTTTACTGTTACAGCATTCACTGAAGCAAGGTGAAGGCAGTCACTGTTAAAGGTTAAATTTCTGTTGAAGGTGGAGGAAAATATTTTCATAAACGTAGCAATCGTCGCTTCAGAAAAGACGTATAGATTATTATGTTGTGGAGAGACGGAAGAGTCTGGGAGTGGCCAGGAGATCTGGCCAACGCTGTACAATCAGAGAAGAAGCAAGGCCATCACATTATCAATTCGCTGCTAACACCACTGGAAACAGAACTCTTCATTGGCTGCTGAAGGTGAGTACGGGACGCGTATGGGAATGACCCAGGTGCTGTAATGTTGGCCTTGACTCACCTTAACTAAGCAGCAGTTAGGCTCACCCTGGGCAAATGTTATTGCCATAGTTCTGTTCCCGGGTAAGATGAGGTTTTGAGGTTTCGAACAACAGATCAACATCATGGCACACGGGTTAAACCTTAAGTGCTCCGTTCTTCTTTTAACTCAATTCTGATTTCGAAGAAGCTCAGCTCAGCACAGTGCACAGGCTCTGTAGCACTGGCGAGGATCCTGAAATACTTTGGGTAGATTTTAAACTCCAAATTTAGCCCGGGCAGCGCCGTTAGGCTACTTTTTTCGATTTCCAATTGCCGAGGGATTCTTCACGTGCGCAACAGTGCACACGGGCATCCGATCTCACTACCCAGAGATTAGGGGGAATTACTAGAAGTCAAAGTCAATGGGAAAAAAAAACCAGCCCTTACCGGCGATTGAACCCAGAACCTCTAGCGGACACCATGCCTCGAGACGACGCAGCCCCCTCCTGGTAAGACAAAACACCACATAGCTCGACGCATGTAATCGTACATTGCATGTCTTCATATAGACAGTGTATCAAATGGTGATTTCAGCTTTCATTGCAGCACTTCTAATATTCCTGAGAATATGACTACATTTGTCCTGGATACAAAGTTTTCGCTTCAGAGAGCTTGGAATGAACCTGCTATTGCATAACTGAATGCCATACGAAGAAACTTTGATGTGTCGGGAATTTCCGGATGTATAGATCCTGGAGTGTGCGGAAAAAGGAGTATATATATTTAGACTATGTAGGCTTCTGTAACTGGGATATTGACGATGGACGGGCGTGGAAAATAAATAACACCTCGGTGCATATTGGCACAGTCTAAGTTATCTTTCTACTTCATGGCGATAATAAAGAATCGAGTATGCAACCGGCTGCAGCGACTCTTTGCCAGCTTAACAGCATGTGAAATCAGAATTGGGGCTCTTACAAAAGTTAGGCTTGTGAGTCGTGAAGTCCGTTTTTCATTATTATCTTTATCACAGAATTCATCATCATTAATATCAGCATTATCATCTGCCCTGTCGATTACCTGGGGCAATCATGCCTCTCCTTAACCTCCGATCTACAACAGCATGTATCAGTTTATGTACTGGCACACCTACATGTTCTAACAAAAAGCTGTCAAAAATCTTCTCAAGTAGTCTTTTGCTGTCTCTCTTTCCACAAATCTTTCCGATGGTATCAACTTGTTCTAATTCCTTCTCTAAACATAACCAAATAATGACGGGTGTCTTATTCTGATGTTCGTGACAGCCAAAATCACAGCTGCAATTCTTTTCATTTAAAGATTATGCTGACTTCAATTTTCAAAATGGCGACGAGCGGCTTTGTTATTTTTCGGGTGCTGTGAGTTCTCTGATTGTTCAGTTCCCTTTTCATAGACTGTTTTTTTTTTTTTTAATGTGTGCTCTTCCGGCGTGTATTGTGGTTTTGCTTTGTCGGGATGACGCCTGACAGGTTTGGCAACAGCTAGGGACCACCACTGTCTTGAGAGCAAACTGGATAAGAGCTGTACCCAAAAACGGAATGGGTCAACCGTGTTTTCGATGGGAAGGAATCGATACAAACGGTTAAATCAGTGCCCAGATTGAACCATAGCAATGTTCTGTCGAGTTCACAAAAGTAGTTGAACGTCACTGCTAGTCGGCTGCTAAATGTTGTTTATATGTTGTCCCAAAGGAGCTTTTTTGGACTCTATCGTTATTGATATTGAAGTCCAACTGGGGTTTCCTGATATTTATTCCTGCAAAAGAGTTTCACAATTTATATTGGTTTTAATGCCTTATATAATTTTTTTTTAAATACCAAAATGAAGAATTTTCACAATTAATTCATAAATATACAAAGGTAGCCACACACACACGCGCACACGCACACCCATACACACACATACTATGTTAACACAGTAATCGTCCAGCTGTTAAATGTAGCTACATGTACGATATCTGTTGTCTTTGAGTACATTACGGTAGAAATGTGTTGCATGGAGTTTGGAAGTTTATCTGTACAAACATATTGATACTAAATTTATTCATACACAAAGAGATGCACACAAGTTAGTGTTTTTTTATGAAGTTGCCCCAGGTTCTCAAATTGAGCATCCGGAGATTTATTAGCGTGGTCAATTGTTGCTCGAATTGCGTTATCCAAAGTGTCCTATGTTTTCAGCCTCTTTTCATAACCATCATACAACACATAGCGACTGTAATTTTTTCTCTGAAATTGTTTTTTTTTTTTAAAATTTTTATATTATTTGCCAGAAAAGTCGATATTCGTCCTTCCTCCGGCGTGGACGGTGAGTCATTATACGAAAAACAAAATATAATATGGTGGACCAGTTCTAAGTGCTGAAATTAAGGAATGGCTGTTTACTTAAGCACAAATGCAGATTTTCATCAAGAAATGGCACCAGACAGTTATTTAGCGTATCAATTTCTTCGATAACGATCTGAAAATGCTAATGAATCTCCAGGACGCCGGTCAACAGACGTGACATTACCTGATATCATAATAGAGAAGTGACGTTACCTGAGGACATAATGGAGAAGTGACATTTCCTGAGGTCATAATGGAGAAGTGACATTACCTGAGGTCATAATGGAGAAGTGACATTACCTGAGGTCATAATGGAGAAGTGACATTACCTGAGGTCATAATGGAGAAGTGACATTACCTGAGGTCATAATGGAGAAGTGACATTACCTGAGGTCATAATGGAGAAGTGACATTACCTGAGGTCATAATGGAGAAGTGACATTACCTGAGGTCATAATGGAGAAGTGACATTACCTGAGGTCATAATGCAGAAGTGACATTAACGAGGTCATAATGGGGAAGTGACATTAACGAGGTCATAATGGAGAAGTGACATTACCTGAGGTCATAATGGAGAAGTGACATTACTTGAGGTCATAATGGAGAAGTGACATTACCTGAGGTCATAATGGAGAAGTGACATTACCTGAGGTCATAATGGAGAAGTGACATTAACGAGGTCATAATGGAGAAGTGACATTAACGAGGTCATAATGGAGAAGTGACATTACCTGAGGTCATAATGGAGAAGTGACATTACCTGAGGTCATAATGGAGAAGTGACATTAACGAGGTCATAATGGAGAAGTGACATTAACGATGTTATAATGGAGAAGTGACATTACCTGAGGTCATAATGGAGAAGTGACATTACCTGAGGTCATAATGGAGAAGTGACATTACCTGAGGTCATAATGGAGAAGTGACATTACCTGAGGTCATAATGGAGAAGTGACATTACCTGAGGTCATAATGGAGAAGTGACATTAACGAGGTCATAATGGAGAAGTGACATTAACGAGGTCATAATGGAAAAGTAACATTACCTGAGGTCATAATGGAGAAGTGACATTACCTGAGGTCATAATGGAGAAGTGACACTAACGAGGTCATAATGGAGAAGTGACATTACCTGAGGTCATAATGGAGAAGTGACATTACCTGAGGTCATAATGGAGAAGTGACATTACCTGAGGTCATAATGGAGAAGTGACATTACCTGCGGTCATAATGGAGAAGTGACATTAACGAGGTCATAATGGAGAAGTGACATTACCTGAGGTCATAATGGAGAAGTGACATTACCTGAGGTCATAATGGAGAAGTGACATTACCTGAGGTCATAATGGAGAAGTGACATTACCTGAGGTCATAATGGAGAAGTGACATTACCTGAGGTCATAATGGAGAAGTGACATTACCTGAGGTCATAATGCAGAAGTGACATTAACGAGGTCATAATGGGGAAGTGACATTAACGAGGTCATAATGGAGAAGTGACATTAACGAGGTCATAATGGAAAAGTAACATTACCTGAGGTCATAATGGAGAAGTGACATTACCTGAGGTCATAATGGAGAAGTGACACTAACGAGGTCATAATGGAGAAGTGACATTACCTGAGGTCATAATGGAGAAGTGACATTACCTGAGGTCATAATGGAGAAGTGACATTACCTGAGGTCATAATGGAGAAGTGACATTACCTGAGGTCATAATGGAGAAGTGACATTAACGAGGTCATAATGGAGAAGTGACATTACCTGAGGTCATAATGGAGAAGTGACATTACCTGAGGTCATAATGGAGAAGTGACATTACCTGAGGTCATAATGGAGAAGTGACATTACCTGAGGTAATAATGGAGAAGTAACATTACCTGCGGTCATAATGGAGAAGTGACATTAACGAGGTCATAATGGAGAAGTGACATTAACGAGGTCATAATGGAGAAGTGACATTATCTGAGGTCATAATGGAGAAGTGACATTAACGAGGTCATAATGGAGAAGTGACATTACCTGAGGTCATAATGGAGAAGTGACATTACCTGAGGTCATAATGGAGAAGTGACTTTAACGA